AAAAAAACTCATCAGGTTCAAGAGGTCTCTTTTTTTTGATAGTTTGGATGTTTAAAAGCAAAACTTCTCGACCCATTTTTGATAGAGAATACTGTTAGTAACAAATAACTGAAGCTAAAAGTAACAGTAAAACAAGGTTTTACTAACTGATTCAATTACCTAGTAGTTCAAATTGACAAATTTTTGACCGATTCTATTATTACTAAAGAATATCCGGTTGTTACCTTTACTCTGTTAAGTTTCACTGCATAATTATATCGATTTACAATACAAATTAATTTCTAGCGAGGAGAGGGTTGTAATTTGAGTAGTGTGCGTATTGGCCGAAGGTTCAGCTGTTTCTATGGCCGACTTCACTGATGATGATACGTCATTACCACTCCTCCAGCCAGAACTGAAGCTTCATAAACATTTCATGGGAAAAACACGCACAGTCACACAAATATACACGCAAGCAACCAGTTCTAAGTAGCAAATACACACGAGAACACAGACTTCTATAGAAACGTTCATTTCTTTATAGGAGCTTATAAATATATTGTAATATTTATAGAAGGTGAAAACGCACTTGAAAGACTGAGTTTTATGAATCAATCATTACAGAAACATTAGACTCCAAAAACAGAAAAAACTTTTTTTTTTTCGTTAGAGGATTGTCTTTTTACTCCCGTTTATGACAATTTTGATAAAAACATTTTGGATAAATTATTCATCAATTGAGGGAGGTATTGGTAGAGCGACCACTGTGGGACTATAAAAATTGATGTTTTCAAAATTTGTCTCTTTCATTTTCGCTAAAAATTCCCATCGCAATTTTCTCATCCGATCAACGCCGCTACTTTTGCTTCGGTTGATGCCACTACCACGGCCGCCACTGCCGTCGCTGGCTGTAGTGCTTGGCGGTGGTGACTTCGGTGTCACTGGAAATGGTGACTCTGGTTTTGCAGCCTGATAAACACCAACTAATTGTTCATAGGTTAAACGCCCCCGACTGTTATCTGGGTGATATTTGGGCGTTATTGCAACATTGTCATTTTGCTGGTGGCGGGTTTCAAGCGGAAAAAGTTGTCGAACACTGGTGCTTGGTGGCCTGAATAGGTGAGGGTCGCCAGTATTACCAAACTGTGTTGGTGGTGCCCGTGTTGCAATACTTTCGAATGGATTTTCCACTTCGCGTTCTGTCAGTACGTCTAAAATATTCACAAAAAAAAACTCTTTCTTTCACAGTGTTTTGAATAAGTTTTTAGCCAAAGTTGTACTACGTCTTTATCACTAATAACGCAAAGTAACCAATTTGTCATTTGTAAGATACAAATTTTGGTCAGTAGAAAGCTTCAAAAAAAAAAAAAAAATGAAAAGCTGTAGTTTAACCGTGCAGGTATTAATGTGATAATGTTATTTAAGAAAAGTGAATACCCGTGTAAAAAAGTGTATCCTTGAATAAAATACACTATATTTCAGTCTAAATAAAGTTTGTATGTGTTTTACAGAAAACTAGAGTGCTAATGAAATATAACTAAAAGCGTTCTTGTTTGCTTAACTCAAGAAATTGCTGAGATTCGTTTAGAAAACTTCTCAGCAATTCTTTTTAGATTACAATTCCTACTGTAACTGCCGAGCACCTGACATATCATTTTCATCTCGTGAAAAAATCTATTCTTTTCATCTACACTGTAGTCGTAGTAAGCAACCAAAGAAGTGATACGGAAAAAGAGGGGTCTGCTTCCCACTGTGACAGCATCAAAGCAAGTGACAGTTTCGTGTGAATTTATTTTGTGCTTCAAAAGTTTTGTCTAGATCAAAATTTTTTTAACTAAGAGCTGTTATCCCACTTTTCTTCTTTTGCCCATTTTCGTTAGCTTTTTTTACAATAAGCCGACGATAACACCATCTAATATAGTATATAATTTTGAATTAACTGCAGCCGATAAATTTTTGGCTTATAAAAGTAAAACATATAGTTTATAGTGTCAAATGTATTTTTAAAATACCATTTTTGATTCTTGAAGTCGCAAATCAAAACAGAAATTAAGGTTTAAAAATTAAACAGGCACTCATTGATTCTTCAATTTCCACTCAAAAACTGGGATGTTGTGTGAAACAAAAACCTTTTTTCTTTTTACAGAGAGGTTAAAATAAAATTTTAAGAAAACTTCTGAATGATAAATTTTAAATTACTGTGTGTGAAAGAGTCCTGTCCTTGACAGACTTACTAAAGACGCTTATCCGGTTTCATCCTTAGTCTTAAACTACAAACGCCCTATTAATGACTTTTGGGTTTATTTTTCACTAAAAGATTTCCATTAGCATGAAAAAAGTTAGCAAAGAAATAAAATAAAACCAAAAAATACAGTTTTTTCAAAAAAGCTTATTGAGAAAACCGTATCAGTAAAAAAAAAGCCTTATGCAGCAAACATTTAACTGCAGTGTTTGATTTTTTTGAAATGATTTTTTGAACTTATATCTCAAACTTAATTTTTTTTTTTTTGGATAGTAGTACAGATTAACAAAACAGCACCAGAGCAACGATTCGAAAATTTTAAAGCAGTTTTTGAAGACAGCTTTCTCAGTGTAAGGAACTTCTAAGAACTAAAGATATCTTCTAATAAAGAATTCAAAATGCCCTTGCAAAGAAATGATAACCATTTAGGAAGCAAGGAAGATCGGTTTAAAAATAAAGCGATTGAAGAGGGACGTAAAAATCCAAATCTTGATGGCTTCTCCACTGTGGTCTAGAAAGTAAAGTAGTGGCAAAAGTATCACTTCCTGCTGCTGCTGTTGTTGACCCACACAGATCGAAGATAAAATCTGCTCTTAGTTAACAATCACTTTTCAATTTTTAAAATGCCTTTCAAAAAATAGGGACTTTTCTAGAAATATTGACAACGAAAAAGTCCTATCTGGCTAACTAATAAATTCCAACATTGTTAGCTTTGACTTAGCATAAATTTTAAAACTTATTACAGGTAGATGCCGTTACCTAAAAACTGTAACTGTGAGTATTTTGACAAACAAGCTGACGCAGACTGACTTAAAGCTTATTGAACATTAACGCCACAAATCTTTTAAACGACTGTTTCTTCCGTTTATTAAGAGATACATTCCTTAGCCGTTAAAAACTAATGAATAAAACTCAATCAAAATTTTGATTTCCATCACCAACGGTTATTTTTCTTAGTCTGCCAACAACATTCGCAGATTTTGCTCTAGTAAAAGAAACCATTCTAAAGACGAAGAGCATATTCAAAAAATTTTTACATCATTTTTTTTCCCAGTGCATTTTTTCCCATTAGATAAATTTATTTGTTGCACTTCAACATTGAAAAATATGCCATTTTTTTAAACTTTTAAACCGTCAACATTCCGCCTTTTTTTTCAAACCATTGTGAACAAACGACATCCATTCTCCATTTCTTCACCTTAATACTTCCTTTATAACCGTAAATGTAGTAGAACAATTTAACTCTTCCAGCTTTTGTCAAAAAAATTTTTCTATTATCAAATGCTTTCATCATATCGGCTTCAGCAGCAAAACGGTTCAACCAGTACAAACACGTTTAGTGGTATTAAAAAAGAATTCAAAGCCAGATCTCTTAAATAAAAGCTTAAAATTACCGCCGTTGAGTACTCTCAATAATTCATAAAACTATTGCCTACGTGCGTAACCTCCTGTCTCAATAAAAAAATAAAATGCAGTCAGAGTAAAGACGTTTATAATTTTCAAAGAAATAAAAGATCTCTAAAAACTTTGGTAGAGTGTTGAAAAAGCTAAAAATTATTTAATTTTTATAAAGTGTAAACCGAAACCGAATATAGAATCAACAGTAAAAGTAGCATCTGTCAGCCACTTGAAATCTACTGTAGAATCTACTTATCTGCAACAGTTAAATACCTTTAGCAAATCAATAAAACGCTGTTTTGAATAGTATTTAAGCAAATTTATTAGACCGTATTTACCAGCATTGCATTAATATTTACAATTTCTTACTGAAGCAGTAGTTCAACAGTAATCTAATTTTCTCAGGATAAACTTAGGTTATTCAGCTAGTCCAGAAATTTAAAACAGCAAATAAAAATATGCAACTACAGCAAAATTAGGTTTTAGGAATTAATTCTTGAACAGAAGTCTGAAGTCATCTACAGTTAACCTGCTAAAGATTTACGATTCTTTACTAGTCAACTGCAAAAGAAACTCATAAACATCAGCATACAAACTTTTAAAGAATGTCGAAGAATCTGCTACTGTACAAAAAAAGCAACTAACTGACGATTTGCTCAATGAGCACCACTAAAGATTGGCAAACTCTGTGAGAGACCTTAACTGCAGAGCACTTTGAGCAAACTCTAAACTTGTTAATCTCATGAGGAAGGAACATTTATTTCACATGAACTTTCTAAAACTATCAGTATTCAATTCCGCTTCGTTCCATCATTTTTCACAAGGTACTTTCAAGTTTTGCCAAACAATTTTCCTTGCCTGTTTTCCATCCGTATACGTGTGCGATTTCACCCGAATTACATTCTGCGTTCGAAAATTATAATGGGAAAGAAAGGAAGAAATAAATGCTTTAAAAACAAAGAAAAAAAAAAAGAAAGTGAAACTGTCGTAGAAAAATCGGTATGAATAACCTTACTGAAAACACCTCCGCTTACTTTTCGGACTTAGAGAAGACTACCTAGCTAACCATTGTTTACTTTTCATTAGACCATTTGGTTCTGTTTTTGTTGTATTGTACCGCTGTTACACTGCTGTGTTTACTCAGTAAAATATAGAATAGGCTTTGTCAGAATCTTTTATAGCCAAAAAGAAATGATGCTTAATCGACACAAACTACTTTGCTTCCCCTTTATTTTTTTTATCTCCTTATCCAATTTTTTCCTCAGCATTATATTTCTGCCTTATGGGAAAATAATACCAAACTTTTTAAAGAGAAGGGCGAAGGGAACAACAGTTGTGTTTTGATAGTAAAAAAAAGCCCATTATCGCTACAGCATATGAAACTGCAAAACCGGAAACAAAACTTACCATCTCGTAAACGACGAAAAGGTGTTTTCGGAGTAGTGACCACTGTTTCCTGCTCGATAAATCCAAAATCAGAACCTGTAGTTGACGAGTGAATTGACGGTATTTCACTAAACAGTTGCGGGATTTGTGTCGTCGTTGTCTTTAGAAAACCCTTAGGAAACAGCCCAGTTTCCTCGATTTCTTTTTGCAGCTCTTCTTCAGTGATTCCGCCGTATTCAATAGAAGAAAGGGCCAGCAAATGAAGATAAATAGCATCTTTTGCCTTCAAGTTTCTCATGTCAAAGTAACCATGTGGGAAAAGAACATCCTGAGCAGAAATGAAAGTCAAAAAATGTCCTAAAACGATTACTGTCCATAAAATAAAAATCATTCAGTTGGACTGTTTTTAATAAATTTTTAAGAAAGTGATGTGAGAAAATTAGAAGGAATTCATTCTAGAAAGCAAAACCAGTTCAGAAGAGTTGTTGTTCTGCCAAAAGGGCTTCGCTTCCTTTGTCGTATATTCTATTTTTGGACAAAATTCAGTATCACAGCCGTCACAAATTGTTTAACAGAACTATTGCTGCTGGTAACCGGGAAAATCGTATGACAGGATCAAGGTGCTCAAGAAGCTCGCTTTCAAAATAAATTGTAATGTATCGGATCAAGATGGATCAAAAGTTTTTTCTGAACCGTTAATAAAATTTTGTTTTTTTCCACTATTTTGCTACATAATCTATGATAAGTCTGTCTGGAAGAAAGAATAATAGTAAATTCAAGACTGATTGCTGCTTAAATTAGGCTAATTAGAGCAGCAAAACACGTACGATTAAGTGTTAAATACTTACTGAGAAAGGTGTAGTAAGGTAAAATTTTGCTAAAAAACAATTATTGTTCGATTAGAATTCATTTGTTGAAGACGTTAGTAAGGCAAATTTTGTTGTTGTCATTTTACCGTTTTAAAACCTCACTAACTTAGGACGTAAAAAAAACCTCGCATAAAGTGTCTTTAGTTTCTTCCAGAAATTTTTATCAACAGAGACATTTGGTATGTTTAAGAACCTTGGAGAAGTTAATTGAAGGAAGGAGGCAACAGTTTAACCGCAGAAAAAGACTGCAAACTCTTAATGGACTGTACAAAACTGCAGAATTTTTGATGCAGGTTTTTTTTGAGAAATTTTTGGTCTTTTTATAAGTAAGGGTATAAACGACTAATTTATAACGGTTATTTTTTATTTAAGAATTAGTTGAACTACTCAGTAAAATGAAATATTGTTTTTATTTTAAGGTTGTTGCATCTAAGAAGCCTTGACTGCTTTAAATAATTTTAAATGCTGACAATTTGGTTGCGTTAAATGCCTAACTAAGCTAGCTAAAAAAATGCACGTTTTTTCTGAGCTACTCACCTTAACAAATGTTATACGTATTTGTTTGAAGAGCAGAAAAAGAATTAAAAAAAAAAAAACAAGTTGTTTGTCGATTTTCTGCCATTAAAGTGACGGGGCGTAAATTCGTAGATACCAATTGGACAATTAACATGCAAGGTGCAATACTCAGTTGTATTGCTGGACTTTTAATATACTACGTATCTTACATTTATTTTTCAAAATTCTTTTTAATTCTTTTTATTTTTTTTTTAATGAAAATAAATGGTTTTTTTTTACTTATATGAAACTTTTTTGTAATGATCTAGTACTGTTCAAAAAAAGAATTATACTGTTTTCTAGAGCGAACGCACGCACGAAATATAATCAACCTGGTCTCGTTTTTTTCTACTTTAATCACTTTAACAAAGTTTGTACCTTTTTTTTTATTTAAAACATTGGTTTGACAACAAAGAGGAAAACAATTTTTTATGGTTAGGTGTGCTTAAATTTTTATGACGATATTAAATTCGTTTATTAGTCACCAAATCTGCAGCAGAAAAGTGTCAAATAGTACTGGCACGAAGATAGAATAAATTTAATTTTTTCTAGCATTTATTTAATCAATCAGTATTACTCTTTTTTTTTCGTTCCAAACCGAGGCCATATAGAAGAAGATAACATGAGTATCAAAACCGTTTAGGCAAAAGTTGGTTTTTTTTTGTTTCATTAACGCAGTGACACAACAGAACTATTGGAGTTCACTTTGCAACTGTACCTGGCAAAATTCGTGAGATTATTGTAGTTATTTGCTGCAAAAGGACGCACTAATCACATCATTTAATAACCAAGGATTAGTTTATTCAACTAGTTTCTTGTTGATCGGCTGCTTCTGTTCTTTTCAACAGTCTTTTCTGTCTGCGGAAGAAAAAAAAATAATTTTCACGAACTTCTTATTGATGTCTTTTATCGGTAAAACAATTACAACAGATTGCTCTCATCTTTGTTTTAGATGTTTTGATAGCACCTGAACTGTGTCGGCAGATGATGACGTTAATGTCACCCAAAAAAAGTTCGAATCGGCTAACATTAATTTTTGAAAAATGATAAAAAACCGTTATTTTGTTTTGCATTTAGAGCGGTGTTCTGGATATGTTATACAGTGCGACAATCAGTTTTTAGGCATTTTTTTTTTTCAATTTTTTATACACCTTACAATTGTGGTGAATTGTTTGATAATTTATTTTACACTGTTAACATATCTATTCGTTTTAGTTCACTGCTTCATTTTTATATACAGTGACTGTTATATTTCCCCTCACTTTGCTTAATTATTGCTTCCTATCGTCCTCCTGGTCAGCCGGCGCAACTTCAGTTATTTTGGTTGTAGTTCAACTTGCCAGCTGCTTGCTGTCTTACATAACTTATTGCTCGTACTCTGTAAACATTTGCAAACCTAATGCTAAGAAGTAGTTTATGCTACTTTATTAGAAAATTTATCCGTATTTTTATCCGGCTGGTTAATGCTGCACAGAAGAAGTCAGCCTTAAAAAAAAAGCAGTTTAAAAAACCTTTTTTGTGGTTTGAAACAACAAATGCATATTAAATTTAAAAAACTGTATTTGGGATGAACAGAAATGGATAAGCATATGATTTTTTCAACACCTTTCAAAAGGGCATTCACCATGAATAAAGTATGTAACGCTTAATGCTTTTGAAGAGTAAAAGTGCACAACGACGCTTAGTGCTTTTCCCATCTCCATATTGTTGGCTGATTTTCTTTCTACTTGACAACAGCCACTGCTGTTATTCTGCTGGGGCCTACAACCCCGGTTACTCTGCCATCGATCTGCAAACGCTCAGCCAGGCAGCCACTTGGTTCCTCCAGCAATAGCCGTCTCCAATGTGTCCCCACAGTCTTGCTCTGCAGTATCGGTGGCAATCACTATTCAGATCAATAGTGATGGTTAAAGCAACTATTTTTGGTGCTAGATAAACAGAATAAAAACAATTTTTTTCTGTTTGCTACTAGAAGTTTGAATCAAAAGGTTTTGTCAGTTTGTAAAAACTTTTTGTTTCATACAGCCAAGGTTTTTTGACCGTTACTACGCTTAACATTTTGCTATTTTTGTTGCTGCTGTTGCTGCTGTTTTAGATTAAGAAGAAAACAAAATCTGTCAACAGTTTTTTTTGCTTTAACAATGAAAAAAATGTTCCACTCACCCCGATTGATAGCCCTGTTACTAGTACAAGAGGAAAAAAACTATTTCTATCATACATAACCAGAATCTCAGAATCTCAACAATCACCAATTACTTACTGCTTCATTGTATCCGTATATTTGAGTTGTATTAATTTCTAAAAAAAATAACATTCTTTTATTTTCTTGCTTTGCTACCTTTTAGATGTACCTAATTTAACCACATACTTTGACATTTTTTACAAGCAGCTATTTTCAGTTTAGAGAACAACCGTCTCATTTATATGTCTATGCAAATCTTAAAATTTATCAGGAAAATTTTGTTCCAGGTTTTTGAAGATGCCAAAGGTGATTACCTGTGTACTGTTCCGACCAACTTCTTCTGGTACGTTAGTAACGCTCAGTGACTTCACACTGGATGAAGAGGAGTCCAAAACAGTGGCGTTACCTTCAGTCTCGGACATCAGACAAATGATTACAGAGCGGGGTCGACTGCATTTTGACAACAAGGATTCCATCAAACTTGATCAGTTAGTTGTCAATCATTTTCTCTTGCGATTTACATCAACACAACTGAATGTCTTCCAGTTCTGACGATTGCCAGTCGTTCCCGAAGTGTTCCCTTCTGAACTTTGATTTGTCAAGCTAAAACAAAAGTTGTAAAACATTAGTTACAGGACTGCGGTTTGAGATGTTGAACCTTATTGGAACGCATCAGTTTGCAACTTTGTATAACAACAACACGCCCTTTTTTCGCTAAATTTCTGCAAAAAATTGATTAACTACTGCATAAAAAATTGGAAATGTTGTGCTGTGATGGTTATAAATTCTACTGAATGAAGTCCCTTTTTTCTTTTTCTTTGCGTTGTTACAATTTGTTCATGGGAAGGAAACAGTTGAAGGCAAGGCAAATGCAACTTTTTTGCTGAGTTTTAAAAAAAAATGTGTTATTTGTTTCTTATTTTTATCTATTTTTTCCGTTTGTTTTTTTCTGACGTTAATAGGCTACTTTTGCCCTATTTATTTCATTACTATCATAAAACTGTAGATGTCGATGGGATACATTAAAGTCTTTTCATTTTTTTTCTTTGTACTGCAGTCTAATTTCATGCTGCTTAACCCAGGGCATAGATATGTGGTTTTGTTGAGAAATTTTGCTGTAACGCTTTTCTTCTGCAAGGCCTCACAAACGGTTTCAACAAAATGTTCTGAGTTTCAGACATATATGCCATTTTTCTGTTATTACCGGTGCTCCATGTCCGCTAATATATGCTTGCGTTTGTGAACCAAGCTTCTCGCCTGAGCAGGCGTCTATATTTCTTGATGCTTTACAGGTTCGCTTTAACTATTTTGATTTTCCGCTCATTGATCAAGGCTTTCAAATCCCAAAAGCCCACCACTACCCATTCTTCTGCATCTTTGGTTTCTAATTTCCTTACACCAAACGTTCCTACAGATTTGTTTTTAAGGGTCCGGTGGTTAATGATGCGTCATTACTACCGCGGTTGTCTTCAGCTGGTGATTACCAACTTCAGCAGGATATTGGTCCCAAATTTGCCTACTTAATGGTTAGTTTAACAAAGCTTTTTTTTCCTTTTATCGAATCTCTTTACTAGTCGGAAAGTACGAGTACGAGCAAGAGTAAGAAAAGTAGATTTTTTTCAATGTCGCCGCAAAAATGAACAGGAAGCAGATTTTTTTCCAGGTCTTTAGTACTAACAACAAACACAAATAGGGTTCATTGGTTTCGGGATGTTTACTCGTCTTGAGAGCAATAATCTCTTTTTTTTCTTTCTCAAATTCAAACAAATGAATCATAACCATTTTTGCTTGCTTTAGTTGAAAAAATCTACATTTACTTGCATCTTTTCCTATTCACCGCTTTTATGTAATCCTACGGTACTCCATATAAGTTTTACTTCTCGCCTCTGGTATCACCATATTCTTTTAAAAGTACTGACCGGGTATGCCTGTCAAATGTTTTTTGCTACGAACTTTTTTTGCGAATTTGGTAAGTAAGCAGTAAGCGCTTTATCGACGGTAGAAAAATCAACAAGAATTATAATGAGCTTTGTGTTTTTAACATTCCTTAGAGCAACCTCAGTTGCTGTTTGAGGCTGAAGTTTGATCTAAGAATCTCTTTGATACTTCTTGGTAGTCACTGAACAACGTTTATCGATCGGCTTGAACAGCAGGTTCAGTGCGTTGTTTTCAACCGCATTGGTAATACTAACACGATGACGTCACTCGCCGCACGAATCGTTTACTGCTTCTTAAGCATTCCGTGACTGTTTCTTTGTGTTCTCCACCACTTCTGACAAAGTAGTTATAGAACAAAAGGATTCTTCCTCACCTGTCACAAATCCTGGTGGTATGGTTCGGATATAGTCAATTCTGCTCCAATTACTCCTAAAGTTTACCGAACTTAACACTCAGCGCACTTGCTAAGGGACGCAGCGTGCTTGTCGTACTACTGACATGAAGGAAAAGACGAAGAAATTGAGACTTTTCCTCTGCTAGGTCTATTACTTGAGTGCTTTGTAGAAATGACTCTTAAACTTCTGAATAAAGCTGCTTTTCGTGGAGTATCACGAGAAATGTCGAAAGAGAACGCTTCCAATGCACCACTTTTCTTGTTCAATTTTAAGACCATGGCTCTGAACTGGCGAACTAACTGTTTAGGATAAAACGGAGGAGTATCTCAGAAGCATTCTCATTTAATGACTAGTTATAAAACTTCAAACAGTTGATTTGCGATGGAATTATAACGGCAACGCTCAACGAAAAGTTGACAGTACGAAACAGTAATACATCAATGTGACTGTCCAAAAGCTAAGACAGGCAACCACGATCAGCTAGTTGTTGATATCGCTGCAGCCTGCGTTGCGTGCTGGCCGCTACAACGTACCAGGTATTGTGTCCGGTCCAGAAAAGTTCCTCTTGCTGATCACAAAGCAATCTTTTTCTTACTGTCGTCACTATTATCGATCACTGTTGACTCATTACAGTGTTTTCTCCATTTCTCGCTTTTTCCTGGACGTTTCAATAACATTAAGCTTGCTTTTTTTCCTTTTGAGTTTCAGCTCCTAACCTGCACAGCGTGGTGAAGAAATTATATAAGTGCTTTTGATGAACAAAATAAATTCTATCCGGACATTCTTAGTATCACCTACAAGGGTGGTGACCTTATATATTAATTTTCTGCGTACGCCATGACCTCTGTGGTTTATAGTGGTTTAAACCGCCATAAGATTGTGTTTGGTTACCTTTATTCTTTGATGTCACAGAATGCTTTCTCCCTCTTTACTGCTGATAAACTGTCGGAAAGGTACTTCCTCTGCACTGTTTGGAACCACTGTGTACCATCCGTTTCGATTAGTAAAGAAAATGTATCTTGTCTCTTCTGTTTCTTTTTGGTGAAAAGAAACCCTATGACTGTCGGATTTAGAAAACTTTTTGGTTTCTTAAAGTCAGCATTAAGCGCTTTGGAAAAAGTTGTCCTTAGCGGCGAACATGAGGTCGTGACTGGGAATGATCGTTGTGGATTTCAATGCCTTCTTCAAATGTTTATGCCTCTGCCGTTATAATTAAAGTCTAGCAGAAGTAGGGCGAATTCAAATTCAGTAGACAATGCAAGCGATCTTCTGTAAGGAAAACGTTGTAAATGTTGGAATTATTCACTTGCAGATTCCGTGCTCTGTTTTCTTGAAAGTTGTAGATAAGTTATTGTCTAATTGTTCAGGAAGATTATGCATAGGGTAAGATGTTCCGGGAGCGAACGGTTCATGCGCTTTGCGCTGTAGACGAAAAGCCAAGAAAAACTTGTGTGATAAGTTAAGTAAGACTTGGCAATTTAATGTTTTAGCTGTTAAAAAAAATGGAAAGTCACAAAATTGAGAATATACCTATTAGGGAGGTAATTTTGCTCGGTAGTGATTATGAATTTAGTAGTAGTAAAATGTTCTATAGACTATAGCTTTAGTGAGCTACTAGGCGTTGCTACATTGCACCAACATTAGTGGAACGATTGTCATAATAAACTGCCCGTTCAAATCGATAACCGCAAAAACAAATCATAAAGATGAAATTTAAAGAAGGATAAAGTGCAAGAGATCGTATAGTAAAGATTCTGCTCAGGACGCTTTCTGAGTTGGGCTTCGAATTTGTTTTTACAACTTCTGCGCATTAATGAGGGTAGTTAATATAATGGTAGGATTTGAATTGTTTTTTAGCACTGCATTTCGTGACTGTTTCGTTTTTTAATTTCTTTTAAAACTGTTGGAAATTGATAATACATGACTTGCTCACTGTTATTGGCTATTCGGTTATTCCAGATCGTAATATGTCTGCTTATTTTTTAGAAGGATGAAGACGGAAGGCCGTTAAATTTTTTGTGCAGATTGTTAGCTTTTTTTGTTATAATCGTTGTAGGTGTTGAAAAGTCACTACTATTAGTGCCGTTCATTTGTGGTTGTACATTTTAGTGACTATTTATAAAATGTGATTCTGGTAATTTTTAAAATTAAAGTACGTTCTTTAAATATTTTTATGATAAACACAATTTTTGACTTTTTACAATTCGCTAGCGGTTATTGCTATAACTTTATTTGACATTATTTTAGCGGTCATAATGAAGGAATTTTATTATTAGTAGGATCAGGACAGTCTGGAAGATATTGTGCAGTTATTATTGCTGAATCTATCCATGTTAAAAGTTGTATTTCCGAGTGAAAGCTGACATTATTTGCCAACGGTACAGGGAAAGAAAAAAAAAACTAGTTTTGTCTACAACAATTCACTCTCTTGCTTTTTCCAGTGATAGTTTTTACTATTGACTTAATAATAAACAAAGCGAAAGGAAGAAATTAGGTTTCAGTTTCCTAAATAAATTATGTCTGCTAAATGTTTAGTGTTAATATCTTTCTTTCTGCTGAATTGAAAGTTTTTGGAAGGTAGTACTAAATCGTCAACAGTTGTGGCTGTATTAAGGGAAACTTTCCAGTTTGGTTACGTTTGCTGATGCAGAATTGAGAAAATTTAAATTGACACTGTTAGTTCAAGTAATAATATTATTTGTCTACCTCTTCAACGGTCGAAAGTTATTCCTCTCAGCACTGCAGATTTTAGGAAGACCTTCTGTTTCATTCTTCTTTTTTTTTCTCGACCACTGAGTGTTAGCAATAAGTCGGCTAAAGAGGCTTGTGTCTATTCGACAGAAAAAAATTTTTTTAATCGTTTTTGTTGCCTAATCGTAATTCTTTTCCAGGACAGAACTGAATAAAACAAGTTTTTCATTATGCTACTGATGATGCTGATTTGTTACAGCTATACATTTTTTTTATATACGCATTGGACTAGATAAAAATTTGGCTCTTAGTTCTCTAGGCTAATGATTTCTATTTTGATACAGCAGAAAATTTGAAGTGCACCAAGGCAGAAAGAAAATCACACTTTTTGATTTTAAACGCGTTCCGTCTTCCTGTTCAACTGTCTTTCCTCGAAAGTTTGTTTAATGACTTTTGATATATTTCAAATTAGCTTTATAGAAGTGTTGATTCATCAACCATCTTGTAAATTTTTTAACCAGAAGCGAGCGATTGTCTCTTCCGCTGCCGCTGCAGCAACATCAATTTTTTTGTTCGTTTGATGCTACTCAATTGTTGTTGATGGATTCTGTCTGAAGATCCAGTTTTCATTTCCAGATCTTTAGCAGTTTTCTCTTCTGCGTTTAGTGTTCACTGATATTTCATGTATTTGAATTCGAAGGATACGCTTTGCAGTATAAGTTTGGTTTCTTAAAATTGTAAAAAAGATTTCTACTCAGTTTAACCTAGACATCACCTTTTCTTTCCGTCTATATGCTTTGCGGCTGGGTAGGAAGACGCCAAAACTGATGCGGGTTTAAAACTTGGTATTTTGTCTTTTCCAATTACTTTTAATCTAAAACTTCCGCTTTGAACTTTAAAAAAAGAAACGTTTTTTGTTGTCCGCAATAAATTAAACGGTTCAGCGCATGTCAACAAAGACATGTTATTTTTTTCAAAAGTAATTGTCCTGTATCGTTTACAAATTCTCGGATATTTCTAAATTAATCTCAAAATTCAATTTCTCCCTCTGTTGCCGCTATTTTTTTGTTTTACTCGAGTTTTTTTGTTGGATTCAGAAGCAGGGTCGAAATAAGGGAATTTGATTTTTGCATGTAATTGTTACGGGGTTGAAAAACCAAAGTAGAAGCTAGTTATGAAGAGGTTGGCTAGAGGCTATTTCAATTGTCAAGTTGAAAGTTTGTTAGTTGGTTTAGATGAAGTTGGAAACAGCTTTTTTTCCAGCTTATTTTTCCGTAATGGTTCTACTGTCGAAAACAGTTCTGTTTAATGGGGGGTGGGAAATGAGGCAGTTTGAGAGTTAAATATGTTCGTATTGAATATTTTTGTTTAGGTATTAGTCGAAAACAGGTTTTGCAGTTTTATTTTTTAATTTGATAGTGAAGCTCGTTTATTCAATAGTTCCATTTATAAATGAGAGCGTAATCTGCTAACAGATTACAAAACAAGTGGTTTACGAATTTAGTTCAAATGATTTTCTGCGAGGAAAAGGTCGGGGTTTTTTGTCCAAGTAACAAAAGTATTTTTGAAATTTCTCATTAAGCGACAAGGATGGAACAGAATTGTTGTAAAAGAAGAACTGGAGACAGTTGGCTACTATCCTGCCTTATTTTTCCTACTATTTTCCTACTTTTCCTACTTTTTCCTACTGCATTGGGGAACGCTGTGTGTTTGACAAGAGTTCTGAATTTACGTGCTATTTGTTGACACAGTGTACAATTTGCTCAAAGTTGTTTATTAGCTATTGCGGTTCAAAAGAATTTTTTTCAAGCTTCAAAAGTGTTTTGAAACCTATCGTGATAAGCTTCATTTTTTTTGCTGCTGCTATTTTTAGTATGGTCTTCTGGCAGAATCTTGTAACTTTTCGATAGCTTTTTAGGTTTTTTGAAGAAGTTTATAATTAGGTTTTAAGCAGTACTATATTAAGTCGGTTTTCCCATCTACAAAAATACATTTTGAGATTCAGTTTCATTACCGCATTTTATTTTAAAATTTCAAGTCGGCGAAACAGCAAGACGATTTTTTTGGTCCCATTATTCAACTTGTACTTTAAAAACGTGGTGGTTTGGAGATTATCTGCTTCTTCGATGGAACCGTGGTGCTGAAGGAAAAATGAAAATATTTGTTCTTGCTAGTTGTCATGTTATGGATGGATTTTGATTACTCGTTACCAACACTATTTTTTTGTATTTGCGTTACTGTACTTTAATAGAACTTGAAATATGATCATAATTCTTGTCTTAAAAGTGTTCTTTTTATTTCAGATGGAAGAAAACAGACGAGATAATCAATCAGCGCAGATGTCTTATCCACAGCAACAGGTATTTGGAATCGTAGCTGATTCTTTATTTGTTTGTTAACTGTTGTTAGTATTTCTTGAAATTAAAATTTAGCTCAGTAATTTTTTTCTTCTTTTTTATAACAGCTTTTACTATCTGCTTTTTCAGATGTTAATTGCTGACTATTAAACGCTTCTGTAATGCTTTTTTTTTGGAGCTTCTAGGGTGATAGAATGTCAATTTTTTATTATATTTTCAGTAATTTTAGATGGGAGATAACAGACAGGATAATCAGTCGGCCCGAATGTCTCAACTGCAACAGCAAGTCAATGAAGTCAAATCGGTTTAATTTTACTTATTTTTTTTTACTTTTAGTTTATAGGAACTTTGCTGTATAAGTTGCATAACACAGATCCCATACCGGCATGAAGTTTCAATAATTTCTGTGAAGGATAAGTAGATTTTTTTTCTGATTTTGTTTGATTTTTTCTTCATTTTTTCGTTCCAGTCATGATAGAGAGCAAAATTTTTGTACTAAATCAAAGGTGAATGAAAGAATTATTCAGATTTTAGTGAAAGGTTTGAAAATTTTCGGCAGTTATTTTATACCTGAGATAAGCGGCTGTCAACGATTGTTTAGACTTTTTCTGTTTTTGAGATTTCGGACTTACCTTGGAGTCTAGATAGAGTATCTTAAATATTTTATGACATGACAGCAAAACCTGCACTATTTCTGTTTTTTGGCTCCAAGTATGTTATCTATCATTACGCTGCGCTAATAGCAACAGTCACTCCTATTAAAAGCAGTTTGGGGGTTTAGGCCGTGAAATAACAAAAATAACTATCTGTGAATAAACCGCACATCTATTTTCCTACTATATGTGATCAGATGATCACCGCGTTATTTTTTTAGGTTATGAGCAGCAATGTGCAACGTATTTTAGAGAGGGGCGATCGATTGGAAAATCTTGAGGGACGAACAGAGGCTCTCACGGCATCTGTATGGCTACAGTTATTTTACACCTAGAAACTTTTTACTTTTGGTCTTCTAATGCAAATTTCTGTACCTCAAGGAAAGCTTTAGTACATCAAGGTCTATTGAGCCCTTTATAGCTTCATTTTGCTCGTTAAGTTGCAGTAATCCTGAATTTTTTGGTTTTTTACATAAGAAAATTGCAAAAGAAGTGGTTGGGCTATTGTTATCGTGAAATTGGATTCATCTTTTCACTACTTGCTTTCTTCGTGTTATTTCATTAATTCTTTAGTCGGAAAATTTCAAAATATCTGCTCGACGTGTGCAGCGGCATATGTGTAGACGAAACGCCAAATGGACGATCATCATAATAGCTGGTACAGTAGTGGTTGTTATTATTATAATCCTTATCATTCTGAACAGTCTTGGTGTTTTTGGGAACTAGTTAGGGCGGGTTGTGTCGGTATTTGAGAAACAATTTTCTATCATCCCGAAGCGAATTTTTTTGTATAAAAATTCTGTGATCTTATATTTATTTATTTTCTTCAAAATTTTTTTACTTATTGTTGTTTTGTGATTGTATACTATGTTGCGTTACTGGATTTTTTCAAATAGTCTACATCTTTGTAATTTGGCGTTTCAAACCACCTTATGTTGGTGAAAACAGCCACCTCGGAGAGTCATTGCTGTGTGACATCTCAGAATGCATCAATAATAGCGAAATTTTAAAGAACGTTTTTTAAGGCTAAGGCAGGCGTTGAAGTTGTGCGAGAAATTTTTGGGTTGGGATTTTGAAGCCCAATTGTTTAATGTTCAACGCATTCGAATGGTGTAGGGAGGAGGGGTATATTGTTGAAGTGATTTACACACATGTAAAAAAGGAGTGAATTGTCATAAATTTTTCTTAAATTTTGTACAGCAGTACCGCGCAAAAAAATGTGATACTTACTGGTAAAAATAAAAATTTTATTATTTTTTTTCATCTGGTTGTTTGTCAATGAAAAAGTTGTGTCAGACATTATGATAAATTAAACATGCTGAATTGTTGTTTGAAAGCGATGAGATCACAGGCTTAGAAATATGTAGTAGTGGTCGGTATAAACAGCAGAAGAATTTGGTATAGTATGTCGAACTGTTGCTTTCAGAATTTCTCCGAACTTGTCGAGGTATTTGGTCTAATTTTATTACTGCGGGACGAAGCTGTCCTTTGTGAAGTTTTTTCGCGTTTTGACGCAATCGCAAAAGTCGACAGAGAGAGTAGCATAGTTACAATTAGGAGAACAAAGTGCTCATATATGTCAAGTTTTGTGGATAGGAAGTAGATCGCTGAAGAAGCAAGTGACTGCAAAAATTTGTCTTTGTTTTTGCATGTTTTGGACACTAGGGTATTCAGGGTTTTTAGAGTTGCTTAGTGGTTAGTAAAGGAAGATTACCTGAAACACTTTTGAAATTGCGAATCCCTCCGCTCGGCATTTCGGCAGTAACAAGGGGATGATGCAGCTTCTTGCTGTATTCCACCAGCAGTCTCCCATTCCAAGTAGATAGCCACAAAAAATTGGTATTATGTAACTGAAAGTTTTATCAGAAAGAATCCAAGAAGAGATGCATCTTAGTATAAAAGAAATAACTTCTATTATTTAATATAAACTCGTTTCAGGCAGTAGGGTACTTGAGCATTGGCCCAGAACTGTTGTTCTCTCACACGATAACCATTATTCTAGTGGTGAAAGATAATTATTGTCGTATTCAGAAAACACCAAACCAGTTGAAGTGTTGCCATTGAATATTAAAAAGGTAGCTTGGAAAATGAAATAGCTTGTTACTTTGGTGTTATTAACAGAGAGTCTTCATCATTCGGTCTTAACGATGAGTATCGAGGAGTAGAAAGAAGTATTAGCACGAAGGAGGTAATATTAACTATACATCCGATAGATGCACTCGGCATTTTTCCCAAGGTGGGGAATTTTTTTGACAAAAGTGTTGTAAGTATTCCTGCTGAAAATACAAAGTAATTGCAAGAAACTGCCCTGTAAAAAGAAATTTATTTTTTACATATTATCATTAAATTGGGATGACGTAAATTAATGAAAATTGAAAGAAAATATGGAAGTACGGAACGGAAGAATTACTAGAAACTTCTCCAAAGCCTACAGCCAGAGAGTACAGTGGTATTAAGGTGTTAGATTTGCTCAAACTTTCCGTGAAAAATAAAGTTGTTCCGTATGCGCCAAGCATAAAACCCGTGTAAATGCCAATGTACACCCACATAGGTGCCAAAAGCCAAACGTTTGGATTTTTTAAGGTTTTGACGGTTAGTGCTGCAATAAATTGTTGAAGTCTCAGATCTGTTAACAAAAAACTAGCATGGAATTGTTTTTGAGTTGCTACCCCGCAGTCACTTAAAGTCCTAATTTATGTTCAACTCGATCCACTCAGTTTTTTCGATTATTCTTTATAGGTTGTTATATGCTACTTCTTGTAACATCACACAGCCAACTGTATTGTACATAATGCGATATATTTTTTTTTTACAAGCTAATTGACTGTTATATTGGATGTTCCTCAATGTTCCTGCTAATTTGCTAATAATTATGTGAAATTTTTTTGATGCTACTGAAAAACAAGAAGTTGAAGTTTAAAAGAATTTCTAAATAACTGTTCTATTTTTTTTGTTTGCAGTAACAGGAGCAGTCCAGTAAAGCAAAAGTATTATTTCATAAAAACGCTGCTTAATAAAGCCTACTCAGAGTATCCCAAAAGCTCCTCTTGTCGGTGCTCCAACCAATTTCCTCACTGAGTGAGTTTCTCGGTTTTTTTTTTGGTAACATTAGGAATAGCAAATTGGACAAAACTGATATGGCAGAAAAAGCTCCGAATATAATATGGATTTGCCGATCGGAAAACTGCCGATATTCACCATTTTGAGTTGTGGTCTCTGCATCGTAAAAGCCTCCAAGCAAAACAAATCCACCAACTGACATGCTGGAAAAACACATCTATTTGATGTACGAAGACCTATATTTTACTGCTTAAAAGTTAATCAGAAGTACTTAGAAGTACTACCGAGCATATTTGACCAGCATTTACCTCATACATGCAATTCCCCAGGCCAGAGAGGAATTTCTGGCCAAGTATTTTTTGGAAGAGTGTTCAGTCAAGTAGCAACCATGGCCGGCGAAAAAAACTTAAATAGCGTGCCGTTGAATTTGTAAGGACAAAACTTATACAAGCATAAATTCATCCATATTATACAGCTTAATTGCCAACATATATTCAGATTACCCGAGCTCATTATCATTCGTACTGCAGCAAATAAAATTTTATTGGAAATGAATGGTGACTGTCTATGAAAAAAAAACTAACTTGCAAAACCGATGCCCATTACAGCTGCGGAAATGTAGAAATAATAGGAATTGAGGTAGAGAAAGCCAAACTGGTATAATGTAAAGGTAATGCTTCCGACAAAGATTGACCATTTTGGATCAAAGTAACGGATCAGAAGTGGAGTAAAAAAGTTTGCAATCGTATACGTACCGTAATTGACGGCTTGTCTAAAATGCCATATTTCTTATACAGTAATTTAGTTTGAAAAATTTTTCTAAAACTAGTGTTTTTTTCTTTGATAAATAATCTATCTTTTTTTAAATTTTTTAATAACAAAGTAATTTATATAATAACTCAACGTCTAACAAGCTTACGATTGATTATTAGTTTCAAACTTATTATTGAAAATATTACTGTAAGTCCGCAAAATGTTCCCTGTTTTTATTTTATATCTGTATAAACATTTAAATTAGTGCTTTTTATGTTTATATAATGTTAAATTTAATGATGCAATTGAAACTCAATAAACCACTGCAAAAGTTAGGATGATTTTACCAAAAAAAAAAAGTGATAATCAGCTTTACAGATTTCTGAGAAGGGCAAAACAAGTTTGTGCTCTAAGTGAATGACGTACGATTTTTTTGACTTTGAGCTTATCAACTGTATGAAATCAACAGATTTGTTTATTAGACAGAGAATGTGAAAATTGTCTAGTATTTTTTTTGAAGCTCAGTATGTTATAATTTTATCTGTGATAAAGTTGTGTTTCAATAAAATAATCATGATTTAATCTATTATTTTTCCATTCGACATTATGAATCACTGACTGATAATTATTTAAGAAATTGAAGCCTATAGATGCGTCATCTGTATGATCTATGTATTAACTTATACTACCACAAATTCTTTCATAGTGAAGCCAAAATTTTTCGGTACTTCATCTTATTTTCCCCCACATGATATGTTTTTCTTTGTCAACATAAAAACCCGTTCAGAAGTTGACGTGGTAAAATTGTCATTGGCTTTTCTGCCACGTGATAAATAAAGGCAACTAGATGAATTCAAAAATTTTTTTCTACAAATAAGGCACTCTCCAAATACTTCACCTCTTTTTCTCTTTTTCTC